GAGGATGGGGTGGGAGACAGTGTCAAAGGCCTTGCTGAAGTCCAGAAAGACTACATCCATGGCGACACCTGCAGCCAATGCTTTTGTGACCTGATTGTAAAAGGCAATCAGGTTGGTCTGACATGAACTGCCCCTAATGAAACCGTGCTGGTTGCCCCTGAGCATCATCCCCGATGCCGGCCCATCACATATGTGCTCCTTGATGATCTTCTCAAAGAGTTTCCCCAGGATTGAGGTAAGACTGACGGGCCTATAGTTGCCCGGGTCCTCCCTCCTCCCTTTCTTAAAGATGGGGACCACGTTGGCTATCTTCCAATCATCTGGCACCTGGCCCAAGCACCATGAGCACTCGTAAAGCCATGCCAAGGGCCCAGCAATAACCCCTGCTAGCTCCCTCAACACCCTGGGGTGGAGAGCATCTGGACCTGCTGACTTGAACATGTCCAGCCCCTCCAGAAGCACTCTAACCCAGTCCTCCTCAACCTTAGGTCCTGAGGCGCTCCCCTCGAGTCCGTCTTGAAACACGGTGGGGGAGTCCCAGTCTCTGCACAAGAAAACAGAGGTGAAAGCCCTTTTTATTGGTTTGCTTTCCTTTTTAATCTGTTATCTCTGTTATCGCTTGTCACAACTGTAGTATTGTATGATGTAGTATGAGAAACATTCTTGCTGCTGAGTTATATGACTGGCTCTAAGTATCATGCAAATGCTCTCATTTAGCACCTTGCCCATAACTTATGTCTTTATATATGATCCTGTTATAAATGAGGAAAAAAACTGTAAAAACTATGGACTTATTTTTCAAATGCTTATTTCCTTTTCTGTAAGTGTGCTCAAAGTTGCCCTTTGAAAGACCTGTGAGCTGACTATTCAGGTAATACCTCTTATACATGCACCAAGGGTGTAGGTTGTAGCTATGTTGGTCTAAGGACATAGGTAGACATAGTTTTTTGGGTAAATCCAATATCTTTTATTAGATCAACTCAAGTAGTTGGAGAAATTCTTCTTAGCAAGCTTTTGGGTACAAACACCCTTCATCAGGCTGAGGAAGTGTATGCAGATGGTCTGTGCTCTTCCTGGATGGAGTGTTAAAGCAACCAGAGGCCAGTACTTATGCCAGCCAGTTAAAATACTTCCCCCGCCCCCAACTTGTCTCTCACCTACTGACCACCTCAATTTACATTTTAACTGGTGGGTTTTCTTGCATTCGTAATATCACAGACCATCTGCAGACACTTCCTCAGCCTGACGAAGGGTGTTTGTGCCCAAAAGCTTGCTAAGAAGAATTTTTCCAACTATTTGAGTTGGTCTAATAAAAGATATCGGATTTACCCAAAGAATCTTGTCTGTTCTTATGCAGGCAGGCAATAGAGTGCTACAATACTTTCCACTTCAGTACCACATTTCTTCTTGTTTTGATGCATTTTACAAGTGTTCTAGCATTAGATACTGAGGTACAGTAGTACCTCAGTACTAGTAGTACTGAAATGATAGGTACTTTAGGTGTACCATATAAAGATAAGTAAGTAAAATTAAGCTGCATAACACTCCTGCATGACAAGCTGTCTGGTCTGGTATCAGTGCTTGAAAAGTTTGTACAAGGAATAACATACACACAGAAAGAGAGAAATATGGATGAAGTTAAAATCAAGCCCTTTTGTGAAACCTGTAAATCAAGGAGAAGCTTTTTTCTAATTTTTCTTAGGTAGAAGGAGGTGATATTCACATTTGCAATTTATACTAATTGCATTAATTCATATACTAATGAACTGCTATGTTTGACAGTTCATTGAGGATTTGATCATAGATTTTTGATCAGCTTTCAGTTTCCTTACTCTTACTTGCCAGAGACAGACACTTAGAATACTAATTTATAAAATCCTTATTTTGTAATTACTATTTTCATAATTTTAAAGGTGTTATTTAAGCAAAAATATCAATTAAAATATATATAAACAAGACAAATTGAATGCCAATGTTAGAAAAAAAATCTATTTTTCATTTAGTCCTTTTCTAGTAGAAGGAACACATGTTTTTACTCAGATTCTTGTCTGTTTCACAGCAGAGGGGCTTCAGTTACCATCCATAACTGCATCTCCATGAACTACTGACCTTCATAAAATCCAGATGTCAAATCACACAAGACATTCTGTGTTCTCAGAAGATTCTTTGCTGACATCTAGGTCTGTCAAACTGTCCTCCTTATTTTTTGAGAGAGGTATAAAATAAACAGGAATATAAACATAAATAATAACATATCAGAACAATTGCTACACAAGTATTTATACTGATAACACAAATGACATTCTGTCAAATAGTCACAAAACCAAAAGTATTATCACGTTATGCTATGTTCCTTAACACTAATACAAAATTTCTGATTTTCACCTTGTAAATCACTACAAATGTGTCTAATCTTCCACATGTCATGAGGATTAAATTATGATCATATAATTCTTTTCTATTCCTGAACCATATAAATGATATATGGATAATTTCTGGCACAGTTGGAGGGGTTTGTGGTATAAAGTTTGCTATTGGATGCTTGTAAAAATTGGTGCTTATCTGCCAGTTAGTACAAAGGTGGCTAGTGCTCTGGGAATAAATCTGAGTTGTGAAGTGGAATGACTGCAGTTGGAAAAGATGGGATGAACAAGAGAAGGGACTGCAGGAAGGGAAGTAATGGTTTTAGTTAAAATAGTTACATGCTGTGTTCAGGAACTGGATTCTATCCCTTTGTCAAAAAGACTCTGTGGGCACATCTACATGTGTGCTTTAACATGCAGTAGCCTCTTTTACTATGTATTAAAGTGTCACATAAAACAAAGTGCAATTAAATTATACTAATGTGCAGTAAAATAGGCTACTGCACATTCAGTGTCACTTAAAAACTGTGCACATTTATTACTGCACATTAAGGCAATCTAACATGCATTTCTTTCATAGATTCATAGATTTTATAGACATTAGGGCTGGAAGGGACCTCGGAAAACATTGAGTCCAGCCCCCTGCCCAAGGGGCAGGAAGTCAGCTGAGGTCATAGGATCTCAGCAAGATGAACAGCCAAATTTCTCTTGAAGGGGTTCAATGTGGGTGCTTGAACCACCTCCAGTGGCAGGCTATTCCAAACCTTGGGGGCTTGGACAGTAAAGAAATTCTTCCTCATGTCCAGCCTGAAACAGTCTTGCTGGAGTTTATAACCATTCGGCCTTGTCATCCCTTGGGGTGCTCTGGTGAACAATCATTCCCCCAGATCATGGAGAACACCCCTGATAAACGTATAGGTGGCCATCAGATCGCCCCTGATCCTGCGGTTTCTAGGCTAAGGAGCCCCATAGCTCTCAGCCTCTCATCATAAGGTCTGTTTTACTGACCTCTGATCATGTGCGTGGCTCTACTCTAGACTCTCTCAAGCTTCTCCACATCCTTTTTCAATTGTGAAGCCCAAAACTGGACACAATACTCCAGCTGCAGCCTCACCAAGGCCGAGTACAACGGGAGAATGACATCCCAGGATTTACTTGAGAAGCATCTATGGTGGCAAGCCAGTGTTTTGCTCACTTTACTAGCCACAGCATCACATTGAAGGCTCATGTTCATCTTGTGGTCAATCATGAACCCCAAGTTCTTTCATCCATAGTGCTAGACAGAGTAGCACTGCTGAGCCTATAGACATGCTGCAGGTTTTTCCTCCCAAGGTGGAGAACCTTGCATTTTTTCAGCTAATTCTCCAGCCAACAGATCGTGGTGGTTCCAAGGCTGCAGTTGGCCAGTTTTGCCAAGAGGTGATTATGGGATACCAGATCAAAGGCTTTTTTGAAGTCAAGATATATGACATCAATCTCCTCTCCCTTGCCCTGGTGATAGGTCACCTGGTCATAGAAGGAAATGAGATTGGTCAAGCATGACCTACCCGCAACAAACCCATGCTGGGTATTCCTCAGGATATTGCTGTCAGCTAGTCTGTTAAGGATGGCCTCTTTGATAATCTTTTCCAGGACCTTGCCCAGGATAGAGGTCAGGCTGATGGGCCTGTAGTTTGCCGGATCCACTTTCCTCCCGTTCTTGAAGATAGGCACCGCATTGGCCTTCTTCCAATCTTCGGGCGCTTCACCAGAGCACTAGGAGTTTGCGAAGATCCGTGCTAGGGACTGGGCTATTGAAGGTATTACATTTAATGCACGTTAGAAAATACACCTTATTTCATGTGCTCTGTGTGATGCTGGGCAAGTTAATTATACTAAACTTTTAACAGATGAGCACTAATTGTATGCTTCTCATTTTCTTGGTATCTTATTTGACACCTGGGACCACATCTGCAGAAGTTACTAGTGCTCACAGTGGTACCTAAATTCACTTCCTGTGCTTTGAGCATATTAAGTGCTATGTCTAATGCTAAGTACTCTGAAAAATCAGGTATTAGGTATTTCTGTTTAAGTATTCAAATTAGTTAACGCTGGTGAAAAAACGACATATGGGAGTGAGTGAGCCATCAAAAAGCCCATGCGAAAGTTAGTAATTATGTTTTGACAGGTATGTAATAAGTAAGGCAAAAGTACCATCCACAGACCAGCAAAGAGAAAAAAATAATGAATTGCTGCTCACTCAATGAGAATCACTCATCCTATCAACTGAATAAAGCAAAGCTCTTCCAAGAAGAGAAAAAGAAGGTGATTCCGAATTTAGGTTGACTCATAATGCATACAAACAAAGAGCTTGTCTATACTATGACAATGATAGATGTCAGGGAGGATGGGACTGAGCATTGTTCACCTACCTGAATCTTTTCCTTGCTCCCTGGGGCAGAAGTTCACTCATGAGACTATTTTGGAATTATTCTCAGTATCTACTCCTGAGCTCTCTATCTCCAGTAGGCCTGTGAGTAGGTGCCAGGGATGAGTCAAGAGTAGCCTCACATACAAACTTCTGGCTCTAGAGCAGACTAAAGTGGGGACGGATTCTCTCGCAGACCTGCCGTTGATACACTACAGAAATTCCCAAGGATTGTAGGGGTGCAATTTAAGTTGCGCAGGGAGCCTTAATTCTGGCATTTCTTAGCTTCTGAGGACTTGAATTTGCAACCTTAATGCCTTTCCCTATAGTTTTTTGTTTGTACTATACAATAATGAGAGGCAGCATTGTGGTCCATCTTTGGAATATTCCCCAGTTTACACACAGTGTTTGAACTACCCTGCTAATTTACATATTTTATTTACAGATCCAAAGTATTGGTTTTCTTTATCAAAAGCCATATGTAATGAAAGAGACTAGATCAGCATTGAACTAAGCTTTGCTCTGTTCTTGGGAAGAGGTAAGGTATTAATGTGCTGTAACATAAAACCTGTAATTATGGGGGTCTTGACATTGCGTTTAGTGAGAGAATATTCAGGTGTCCACATAGCACAAAGTCACTCATTATGGTTGTCTTTTTATATTTTCCAAAGTCCCGTGCATTTCAGAATGGTTCAACTGAAACAGCTGTCATTTTCCAATTCTGTGCGCTAGATGGTCTACAGCAAGCCTTCAGCCCAACTGAATTCTGCAATGTAATTGGTAAGAATACATGCAAACATTACATTTAGATCAACCTAATCAAATTAGGTCTATCTAAATGGCCAAGTGTACAGGCATTCACAGGGCTTACATTGTTCTAAAAATGGTGTGCCCAGTAGAAAGTTAATATACCTCAGAGGTGAACTAACTTTAGATTGACCTGGATTAACCTGCTCTAAAATGGGTAAATCCAGTCTAGTGAATACCTATACACATTCATGTGCATGAGCCCCATGACTGTGCTATTCCTACCTCCCCAACCCTGACCAGGCTAATTTTAGCCTTCTGTCTACCTCCCCTTTCTGGACTGAGCAACCCTGTTGTGGAAACCCCCTCCACAGACCTGCCAGACACTCCCCCACCACACTCCCACCAGCCCCTCTTACCCTGAGTTATTTATCTCTGGCCACCTGTGCTACTCCAAGCAGCAGTGAAAGACTTCTGTAAACATGAAGTCACAGAACTCAGGAGACATTAGTAAAAAAAGGTGGACTCTGTTCCCAGTACCATTTCTGCTGTTCCCGTTTCAATTTAGATAAATCAGTTTTTTGCCTGGAATCTGGCATCATCTGTCATTATAACAGGCCAATTCTCCTTGGTAAAGTGACAGCTTCTTCATCCTTAATTCATGTTACTCAAGTTACTTTAAGGAGGGAGTGTGGATCTGAAATGGGGATTATGATTACGGTCTCAGAAATAAATCCTTGGCTATGTTGAACCCCTTGATGCAGCTGATGGAGTTAGACAAAAAAGCTACTTTTTCACCTCTTTGCTTTGCTGGATATCCAGACCAGCCAGAGACTATCCTATGTCAGGTTGCTTTGAACAGTGAGTCTGTGCAACTTTCTTGTAATCCCTTCTGCCCTTGCAGTTCCTCCTTTCTGCCTCCAATTGCTCTCAACAAGCCCTTGTGCTAGAAGGGGCTTGCCTAAAGCAGCCTTATACTAACTCAGGATCTCCTGTAGTGGCAGTTTTGAGAAAACCGTGCCACTCTGGCAATACTAAATGACTCTGCAAATGCATTCAAGAAATGTCATCTGACACTTGGTATCCTATCCCTCCCATACAAAAATAACCACTTCCTTTTTAAAAGTAATTCAGAATATCGCTGTCATTAAGGGTTTCAGAATGTGATTTCCATCATGTTATGACACCTGTGGTATGTTTACCACAGAAGCAATCTTTATCTCTCTCTGCATCTCTGTTCCATACACATACCTCGCCTTCAAAAAAAAAAAAAAAAAGATGAAGAAAATGTGCTACTTGAACTATTGGGCGTGTCTACATGTGTAATTAATGCAACTGAATAAACTCTGGCACAATTACCCAGCAGCTGATTGCTGAGCCAGTGGCAAAACTGGCGAAACTAGAAGTGCACTTCTGGTGGCACTTCTGGTTTCGCAGCTGGTGCTTCCAGAGGTTGCACGGCCAATCTCAGGGGGTGCATGTGCACCTGCGTGCACCCTCTATGCATCGCCAATGCTAGCAGTTACATTTAGATAATATTATTATTTCTGACAAGGGTTAGAATTTAACTGGTACTTGGTAGATCTATATGTCACCATGATTTCTTCTCACCATCTGAGGCCTAATCCAAAACCCACTGAAATGAATAGTGGGTTTTGGATTAGAAATGTTGTCCAGGCAATGAAGATCTGTAGGAAAGATCAGTAGGGTCTGTTTACACTGTAGGTGCAGTTGACAGCAGTGGAGAGATATCTGAGCTAGGTTTAGAAAAAAGCTAGTTTAGGTATCAGAGGCAGTGCAGATGCAGCAGCACAGGCTAATTTACCCTGCTTTTTGGGTATTTTGGTATAATGTATCTACATATCCTAATGAAGAAATCTCTCTGTGAAGCTGGATAGGAGAAACTCTGCTGTTTGTTTTCAAACCTCTTAAAATTTCTAAAGTAGCAGAAAGAGAGACTTAGAGTACAGTGCATACACATTCCGCATGGGAAATTTTCAACCTCCATCCTGTGGATTGTAAATTATATCACTTATCATGTCAGGCCTGAACTCCTTCTGAGATCCATCTGACACATTCCAGCTATTTGCCAACTAACACCGTCTCATTTGGAACTTCAGATTGGACTTGAAATATGGTTGCAGCTTATTTTACCCACTTGGATGCATGAGCTAATTGTATAACTTAATGCCAATATCCCTGAGTATATCATGGGCAATAACTCATGTAGTTTGAATCTACAAAGTACTAGTAACAGAACAAATAAGACTGCACTTTTCCAAGTGAGGAACCGACAAAAACAATAAACCAAATGGATGTGTCCCTTGGCTATATGAAAGAAGATCAGCAGTGGCGGCTTTCACCATTCTCATTCTGCAAACTTAATATTTTGTGGCTGCATTGGGTTAAAAAATAATAGTTCTCTTCTTAAAATCTGCTAAAGAAATATCATGTAAGGTGGGAAAGCGTTATATAGTAGAAGATTATCTAAAAAAAAAAAATCAAGGCCATACATCACAGGTTTCATTAGTTTTACTTGTCCATTTTTGTTGAAGTCTTTCAAAAAGCTATTCTTTGTGGATATTATGGCAGAGGAAAACATTAGGTGGAACAGTATGGAAACACTCTATTACTTGTTATTCACACCTGTGAATCAATGGTAAAAAATTTAACTCTGCCACAGATCCTTAGAGCTCATTGCTTAAGAGTCACCAATACTTATAAATGATATAATGAATCTGGGCTACTCCAACAGAAATAAATGTTTAGTACCAGAGCTGTAGTGAGCTCCTTTAGCATCCTGGAGTGGTGGGGAGGGAAGAAAAGTCTGATGACCACTGGAAAATTGGGAGGAGGGAAGGGGAATGTTCCAAATCCACATTCTGGCAATAGCTGCTACTGCTGGGGCTCCTGTTGTGGCATCATGCAGTAGCCAACCTAGGAATGGGGCAGAGAGGTGCAGACCTTCACTTTGGCAGTGCCCCTCCTGTGCAGTGAGCTCTGATCTCACTGCCAAGTCAATGCACACTCCTACTAGAGCTCTGCCTGCAGGGTTGCCGTTCCAAGACATTTTTTTACCAGCAATCTGAAAAGCCTTTACTGATAGGTAACTATTTTTCCTGACACATGTTTTTCCTGTCATTAAAAAAGACCATTGATTGGCAGCCTTGTATGACTGCAGCAATGGTTTTATACCCTGATGCCCTCACAACAGGAGTCCCCTACTCACCCCACACCCTGGCACCAACAGTACCTCACACCATGCCGCCCCCTAACCCACAGCCCAGCCTTATCGCCACCAGTTCTGTTTCCCCCATCCCAGCACAGACCCACAAAGAAGCTTATCTGTGACAGGAAGCATTACAATACAACAGGATGGGGAGCAGCAGCAGCACGTGTTTGGAGGGGGAGGGTTCTACAAAGCACTGAGAGAAGACTTCCCGAAGGGTACTGCACTTCTGATCGGACACCAGGTAGTGCTTCTCTGCTGACTGTGCATCAATGATGTGCTGGCTGTCAAACTTCTTGTGAAGCAGTCAGAAAGCAGTCATTGTTTAATTGTTTTATGGAATGTTTACATTTATTTATTGACTTAATGGGCAGGCATTTTTAGCCTGAATTTTACTGACTGTTCATATAGATAGTTGGAAATCCTATCCACATTATCAGTAAGCTCTGAGCCCATCAGCTGATCAGGGTAAGGACTGCCCAGAGCCCAGGTTGCTTTCATGGGTCTTCAGAGCCCCAGGTTCAATAAATATAGGCATACAATCAATGAGAAGAGCCAAGGAGCAGTGGGCAACATCTGCAGACCCTTTGTTTGTCTTACTAATTCCCTAGGTACCTGCTTCTTGATGGACCATTTCCCATTTCCCAATTCTCTCAGTCTCCTGTTAAAGAGCCTTTCTAAGTTATAACTTCCATCACTACAGGGGAGATAAATAGCAGTGGACCTCATTCTTTGGGCTCTGGAGCTTCATGAAACCAGGGGTTCTGGGCAGACCTTGCACCCTCTGGGTGCAGTAGCATCCACCCGGATAATGAGTTGCTGTATCGGGGCACAAATATGCTGCACATCAGCTGCAGCAGCTCCTGGTGCCCCATTCACCCCTCCCAGATATGCTACTGGGTCTGAGGCTGTATCTGCCAGGATCCAATGGCCATGGGGTATGGGGCTGCACCTCCTGTGGCAAAGACAGGATGGGAGGGGGCTATTCTGCTCACCCTATTCACATCTTCCCTCCCTCTACTAATAAATTACTGGGCACAGGGATGTGCCTGCTGTGGAAAAGACTCCTGCAGGGGGAGTTTTCAGGGGATAATCTGGTGCCTTGCTTTCCCCCTTCTAGTTATGCTATTGTTTAGTACTTAGAATATTGCCTATAAGTGAATGAATATTAGGACAGTCCTACATTTAAGGTCATCATCCTAGGCAAAGGTGTTAAAAGAGACTGAGCTGACAAGAATTAGGAATCTGCTTCTCACTGACTGTTAAGGCTAATATAAGGGGTATTTTTATGGTTTCTCTGGCCCTAGCATATGTTGCCCTGTACATAGTGTAATTATTTACAACAATGCAAAGTGAGCACAAAGTACTACTGTTCTGATCAGCAGAAACAGAGAGGAGCATTATAATCCAACAGAAGGCATTAGATCTATAGACAGGAAACCTCAGAAAAGCTGTTCTTGGCTTTTCTGATAATCTACTGTGACCTTGAAGAAATGACTTCCAACACTCTGAGTCTTTGTTTCTCCCCTCACCCTTTGCCAGTCTAGTCTGTTTTGACTGTAAGGTTATGTCTCCATAATACAGGTAGCACCATCTTGAGATATGCTGCAATATCTCTGTGCACAGTGACTCCTGTGGTGCATGTTTGGCCCATACACAGCACCTCATTAGCATGCCTCTAGTACTTCTAGTTCTGGAACTAATATGAGCAGTGCTAACACGGGGTGTCCCAGCATAGCTCTGTATTGTGCTGCCTTGTGTGTATAGCCTAGTGTTTCCCAGACTTTTGTTACCTGTGGCAAACT